TCGGGCTCCAAACTTGTTAGAAAGCAAATGTGGTTATCCGGGATTTTTCCAGCCCAGCAACTCAATGCTATTGTCACCCCAATTAATAATGCTATGCTTACATTAATTACACTTCAAGTGTGTCGGAACCCAACAACTCTGGAAGCAGGGGTCAGATTTCTCGCTGCGTAAGGTTGAAACTCCTTGTTTGTTTCCATTCACGAGGTTCCACTTCCGCTGGCCGTCGTTGAATGTTAATGTGTGCCACTGATGGCGTTTGGGATGTGATGACCGGGCAGGATAGCCGTGGTTCCAAACAACAGGTGAACATGCCCCATCTTCCACACTGTGGCTTCAAGATCTGTGAAAGAAGTTACATTTTGAGCAGATGATGGCAGCCCACCTTCAAGTTACCTACCATACCTAGCCTAGTCGGTGACAAAGGTGTGCGAAAAAAAACAAATTTGCGCTAATGCTTCTGCAGAATTCTTCTGATGGTTAGTTGCCTTTTTTTGAGAATCGTGTGCTGGCTGTTTGAGTAGCCAACCATCTTTCCGGCCTTGCAGGACCTTTGCAAGCTTATATCAGCCAGAAAGGACACTCTGCAACTGTGACTGAAGAATGGGTAGGAATTGCAAATCCATTTGGCCAGCCTTCTGGCCAGCCTGAGCATGCCTGCCAAGCTTTTGAGAGACACCAATATCATGTAATGTTGGCAATGCAGCGTGGAGAGGACCTGACTGCTTTCTTCACTCCCGAGGCGTTATTGGAGGCTGGGTACTCTTCAGCAAGGAGATATATGTCAATGCTGCTTGAGAGTTGAGACCCTACACTCGGCCATCACTTGTGCTCCGAAACTTGCTTAGGAGGTGCAATTTTAGTGTGATCTCTGCTCCAAGCAGCTCTGTGGGCAGCTATGTGTGAAAAACTTCACGTATCTCACGGGTTGTTGCACTAGGCTGCTTTTAGATGCTTTCAAGAAGCAGGAACTGTGCTCGGCATCGGCTTGCAGGCACCAAGAGCTAGGTCACAGGCCCTCCACGATCTGGCAGAGGACCGAACGATAGCAGCACAGACTTCAACTCTTTTTCTCGTGACAGCTCTCTGTCGTGACCGGTTGGTGCTACCTTGCTCAAGATAAGAGCTTACTTGTGCCAATGGTCGGCACATGCCCATTCACGCCAGGACATAGTCCAGTGCGCACTGGCCGATGCCCGCTCCTCGGGAGCTTAGGAAGTCGTTAGTTAGGCCAGCCACAGTTCCATCACGCTCATCCAAGGATTGCACTTGTTTGGTCGCGATGATAATGGTACGGCACCTAGAGACAAGGGCACAGAAAGGAAGAGTGCGTTCATGCGTTGCCGGGTCGCTAGACTAGACCCTTCGTCGCCCAAACGAGGGAGGGAGCCCCTGCAAAGCAAAGCAAGAGAGAGGGAGGGGAGAGCATTGCAAGCTGAGATGCGGCATGTACTCCATTAATTACATTGGCTTGGTCTCTTGGGACTCTCATCTGTTTCTGCGGGAGGGACCTTGATCCCACACCACCAAAACAAGGAGTGCGCAGGGCGCACTGGCGCGCCTGGGGATTGGGATCGGCCAGTGGGCCCCCCTCAAGCCCCTGGAAGAAAAAGAAGCCGGAACAATCAGCTCGCTACCATTGCAGCATGCAGCCATGTGCAAGCATCGTCATTATGTCTGCCCAAGGGTCACCATTTTCGATCGACACTTCTTGTCTTTGCAATCAAAAGTCTAAAGCTTCGCACACACTCATGCAGTAGCATCACGTTCAGGACTAGCTACACCGGAGCTGCCAACAGTCTGCGGGGCTGCAGTAAAGGTACGTGTGCTCTAAGGTCGCGCACGACTAGCAAGCCGAGGCCGCATTGAGCATGCGCATGATTGCACGAAAGACGCATTGCTGCATAATTATTGACCCCGGCGACTTGATTTTGCAAGCGACTCTCGCGGTGGACGCGGCCATCTGTTTTCAAGGATGTTACGGGATGTTTGCACCATCACGGCCTATATTACTTATTCTGTGCGTATTCCGCGTGCCAGGTGTGAGCAGCTGCGCAGTGCTGCGCATTGAAGCTCGACAAAGCCGATGTGTCTCAAAAATAGATGAGCGTGTTCATGCGATTGCCATCAGCTTGTCCACATGCTTGTGCCGCTGATATCGGACCATCTCTGGAGAAGATCTTCGCGTTGAGGGTTTAGCATGGTTTAGCGTTTAGGGTTCAGTCACGGTGGCTCACAAGAATCGGCGAAATGAAAGGGATCCTGCAAAAAACCGTGAAAAGCTTACCTTTCCTAGACAAATGGAAGGAAGCACGCAGCCGGGAGTTCGAGTAGCTTGAAGCACACAAGGTTGAAAGCTTCAGCTTCTTGGTCTATGGAGTATGCACACCGCCCAGGATATTGAGAGGACGCGGTTTATGAGTTAGGGGTTGGAAGGTCGGGACCTGAAACGTTACTGCACGTGCCCTTTTAGCCTGCAACACAACCCCAAAAAGAATGTTAGCTCATGGCATCCACTCAGCTCTGATATTAGGAGTAAACTGCTATCCAATGGGTCTGGAGATCCAAAATTCGCATTAGATCCTTCCGTAAGAACGCGCTGAGCAGCAATTCATTCATGAGCAATCTTCTGCCACAGCACCTCAACCGGCTCAAACTTAGAAGGTTCAACGATATCCAATTTTCAAAGGGCCTCACAACTACATGCAATTAAATGAAGATGATGCTAGACGTCATGTTATGTCCAGGATCACGGATGCTGCTTAGGCGCCCAAGCCAGCTCTTGTAAGTGCGTTCCAGAAACCGGATCGTGTTTGCAATGGGGAACTGTTGCAGTGATGGTA